ACACTCGGAGAAGTTTCCCAATCAGAAGTTGTAAAAGGAAAAAGTTATGTGCTAGAAGGAAAGCAATGTCGCTATCAGATACTGACGCTCTACAGTTGGTGAATCGGAGAAATGTTCAACGAAAGGCTGTTTTCTTTTTCCTGACATGAAGAAAAATGAATATATTTGTGTATGTATTTTTTACTGTTGGCACAACACTCAGCTCTAGAAGTCTGGGCTGCTCTGCATCGCAAAATTAATGAATTTTAAGCACTTTATCAATGACATTTAATAATAAATAATAATCATCCTTATATTTATTATAGCGCTTTATCAAAGACTCTCAAAGCGCTTTACAAATACACATACAGATCATACATGTAATGGTCATCTACTGTGGACAATACCCACAGGAGCAAATTCGGGTGAAGTGTCCAAGGACACAACGGCCTGACGCGGCGGAGCGGGTTTCGAACTGGAGTTCCCCAACGCCCCCTTGATCTGATGATCAAACGCACAGACCACTGCGCCACCCGTCCCCATTGGTCAGGTAAAAGCAGTGCGTCTCATGTTGGAAATGTCCCTAATTTCCTCTATCCTCGCTCAGAGTTGTTTTGTGAACTTTATTTTGAAAGGTTAATTAATTCTAATGATTTCATGGTGACTTATACGTGTATACGACCTTATACTTATACGACAGCGTGATGTTGAATATTTGATTTATGCCAGGGGGAAGTAGGTTTTATGACTCAATTAATACATTAATACAAATAATGATATAGACATAAGAAGATAATGTAAACATCTGCAATAAAAGAGAAAAAGTAACATTATTTTAATAAATATAGGTTGAAATATTAAAAACAAATATTTGTTTAAACGTAAAAAGTTAAGGTTATAATTTGAAAAAAAATATGGACGAGATGATAACGTAAAAAATGTCTAATAAAATAATAGACAAATAGACTTAGAATATCTATATAACCACAAGTGAAGTAAAATATGCAATAAAATAGAAAATAGGAAATTCCACTGACAGTACAACGTGTTATTCTCCACCTGATCACAAAATGTCCCTCGCTATTTCTCTCTGGAGACTCTTTATTTCCTGCTTTCCTTATATTTATAAACTGGACTCTTAAAGCCTTGGGATAAGTTTGTAATTTCACCCAAGCTGAACATTTTTCGACTTATGCAAATGCTCTTAGCCTCAGGGCAAATTTGTGCCCACTCTTAACATTAAGAGCATTTAAGCCGTGTCTAATATTTGCTTTTTTTGAACCATAACAAGGGTTGCTTGTGCAGCGGAGCATTATATAATACACACACTGTGCCATAGACCTCTATTTTTATCGTAAGAAGTACATTTGACAAAAATGGGCCATTTTATGCCAATTTCCAGGTTTCAAATGTGTATTTTGTGCCTCTATGTTTTAATGTTCAAATAGGTCTCGTGCCTGAGCGCTTCCCAATGCCATTATCTTGACTGATATTACAATTGCATAATGATTTGTGGTATTGGAAGGAATAAGCATTGGTCATATTGTCATTAAAAGTGTATTTAAATGGTAATAGTGCGATTATTTGAAGGCGATCTGAACCAAACGAGGATTTCTGATGAAGTCTGTCGAACATCGGGACTTCTCTGCAGCTCCACAATAATTCAATCAGATATTTTCACATATTTTAGCTTAACCAAACATTCCTCTTGAATAATGCACTATTTTATAAAAGCAATTAATTGTGAAGTGCTCTCAGAGAAACACAGATGAACCCCAGCCTCATTGATCCTCATTGATTTTCTTATAACACACACATGTGGAAAGGACATGATGTTCTGACCGTGCTATTTTTAGTTGTTGTAGCATGCTTCATCTCACAGTAACATATTTGATGTTACATTATTCATCACACAGCTGTAAAGTAGGGCACGGTGGCCCAAATACTGAGTTCCGCTGTGGGACAGGTGCTCTGAAGCTTCACTGCATCTGCATCCCAGAATAACTCTCCTATTGTTACGTGCATTTCATTTCTAACAGCTGCACCAGAGCCGAGTTATTTAATATGAGGCGGGGGCTCCCGGAGACCACTTTCATATAGGCAGATTGGTTGCATTAAAAAAAAAAAAGGCGCTAGAGAAAATGGATGCAGGAGAGAGACGGAGTGGAGGTGAATAAATCAAAGTAAATGTCAAACTCTAACATTTTACGCTTTGTATTTCATTATGGTTACTTTCTACATTAAAAAGAAAAAATATGCATATAGACTAGTCAGCAGAACTCAGGTAGAAACACATGCAGATTTAATAATGATAAGGATAATACAAATAATAGCAATACAAAATAATCATAATAATAAATAAATAATAATAAGTAATAATAAATATAATAAATAAAATAAATAAAATAAATAAAATAAATAAAATAAATAAAATAAATAAAATAAATAAAATAAATAAAATAAATAAAATAAATAAAATAAATAAAATAAATAAATAAAATAAATTAAAATAAATAAAATAAATAAAATAAATAAAAATAAATAAAATAAATAAAATAAATAAATAAAATAAATAAATAAATAAAATAAATAAAATAAATAAAATAAATAAAATAAATAAAATAATAATAATAATAACTTAAAAAATAACATAAAAGAAAAAAGAAAACGCATTTTTGGCAGGGCATATTACAGACTGACCGATATGCACGGGTATTAGTGGAAAATAAGCCTATAAATATATAAATATCGAGTTTTTTTTGCAAATCATAAGGGTTCCTGGCGACTCTGTAGCATATATTTGTCCTGCAAACTTCCTTTTTCTTCATAATATTAAGATATATTATTATTTATTGCGGTGTCTAAAGCTAGTTAAAGCCCTCTCATATGAGGTGTTGCTCCTGAATCCTCCATCCTGCTGCAGAGAGGTAATTATCTTAATACTGTTTGCTGCATCCTCAGCTGGAAATTACCCGTCTGAAGTGACTAATCCGTCCACCGCTCTCATGATGCGTGGATTCAGGAAAAAAGGACCGTTAAGATGGATTTCTCAAGAAATTATACCATTTTAATGAGCTGATAAGAGCAGGACAATGAGAGTGTTCCAGCAGCTGTGACCAGAGCCATGGAGGACGCTCTTAAGAAGCCTTTAACCGTGTTGTATAGCCAGAGCTTAAATCCAGCGTTATCTGCACAGCTGCTGAAGGCCATGACGAAGAAACGAGGATATACGTCAAAGCAGGACAAAAATGCACAACCCTAATTTGGTTAAACACTTCTTAAATCATCCTGAGAAAAAGTGCCTGCTTATTTTTGGTGCAGAGTGGATTATCACAGCTGAAAACAATCTGATTTTCAGACGGAGGGACGTTTAGGGTTTCTGGCTTCAAAGAGCAATAATTAGTCATTTCACTGAAATAATTTGTTCCCTTTCTCGAACTCACTCACACTTCATTTTCGGTGAATTTTCAATTAGCACTTTCATGGTAATGGTTCAAAAATACAGCCGTCAAATGCTAATTATTAATAGGAAGCACTGTTAGCAACGCTTGGGAACATCAAACCATGGAATTACATTCATTTAATTCACAAAATGATTTATAAAAGATCAGCAGTATTGAACAAGTTCTGAATGTGTGAAAAGGATTTTGAGAACAAACCAAAATGTTTTGTTTTTTTAAAACAGCCGTTGTGTTCATCAGTAAAGTGGAACTTCTGTGTGAACTGTTCACGTCTTAAACGACACTGTAACTTTTTATTCATGTACTTTTTCTGTTAATGTTTCTTTTATTATCTGTTACTGTTTTTAAATGCCTTTGTCTGAATGTCTTTCATTGTTGTAAAGCACCTTGAATTGCCTTGTGTTGAAAGGTGCTATATAAATAAACTTGCCTTGCCGAAAGAAAGTCGAAATTCTGACTATTATCTTAAAATTATAGTATTATATCGTCAGGGTTGGGAGGGTTACTTTGTAAATGTAATCAGTTACTGATTACTGAATACATGGCTCTGAAAGTAATCCGAATACAGTTACAGTTACGTGTTTTAAAAAAGTAATCAGATTGCTTTTAGATTACTTTCTTTTTCCTTCACAGATGGATGTTTTGGTGAACAGGAGACACAAAAAGTAAGGCTAAAGAGCGACCACAGGCTGATGTGTTTTAACCACACACACACACACACACACACACACACACACACACACACACACACACACACACACACACACACACACACACACACACACACACACACACACACACACACACACACACACACACACGATTTAAACGCAGACTTTTGTTCCTCCATGTTTCGTTGTTATTGTTTCACTGAGCGAGCGGACCCGCGATTTAAAAAAAAAAACGCTTTTTTGGTCCATCTGCGGCGGTAATAGGTTTTGTGGGCTTTGATGATTCGGCTGTACCTTTAGTGAGGAAATCTTTTCATCAATAAGTAAGTAATCCAAAATGTATTCACTTCAGGTTACGAAAGTAACTGTAATCAGATTACTCGTTTTTCAAATGTAACGCGAGCTGAATACAGTTACTTGATTTTTGTATTCTGATTACGTAACGCCGTTACATGTATTCCGTTACAACCCAACCCTGTATATAGTATAGTATAGTAATTATAGTAGGAATAGGAAATAAAGTAATGTGTATTATGTTTTGTATACAACATTATTTAAGTCCAGCAGTATTGAAAAAGTTGAGGTTTAGGGCCACGTGTGAAAATGATTTTGAGATCCGTTTTTTTAAATAATTGAATCTTTAAATTCCGACTTTGTTTTAAAAATATGAAATAAAGTAATGTGAATTATAAACGACTTTGTGCTGATATTGCAATACAGTTCTTTCTAGCCAGTGTTTCTATCTATCTAGTGTTTTTGTTCTTCTTTATCCCGCTTCTACACATTTAGTTTGTCGGATGTATAAACTGTCTAATTGTTGAAATAGTAATAAATAATTTAAAAAATAATTAAAAAAAAGATTCCCCTGAAAAATGTAAAGAAGTAGTACCTGCTCTCCTTCGGTGAACACGCGGGTCTCGAAGCTCCAGGAGATGGAGGGGGTGGGGTCTCCTGAGGCCTCGCAGGTCAGCGTCACCTGCTCATCGAACTCTGAGGCCGTCTGGTTGCTCAGGTACGTGATCTTGGGTTGCACTAGAAGCAAGAAGAGAAGGATGGACGTGTTTGCAAACAAATGTTAATCTGACAACATGGGGAATATTTCCTTTATTTCTCTTTTAAAGCTCGTTTGGTCTCGACACCAACCCTGGAGGAAGCACAGCTAGCTCCTAAACTCATATTCAACTTACTTTAACAGCTAGTTTTCAAACAAAAATGTCTGTTGCAACATTACATTAGGCTGAGGGGTTTTGATCTAAAGCAGTGGTTCTCAAACTTGTTCATACCAAGGACTCTCCAAACACTCGCGGACCACCTAAAAAACACATGGTTTTTCTAGAACGGATTACAAATCGCCTGAAAATGGTACAAACAAGTGGCAACATGTGTGACGAAGGTGTTGCGCTGGGCTATATCATGCAATCGAAAGTGAAACTTAAGCTCGCTCTATTGCGGAGATATTCCCGCGAGAGTGCGGAAAACTTACATTTATTTATTTATTTAAAATGTGAAATGTCACCAATATACTCACGGACCACTAGGGGGCACTCACGGACCACCAGTGGTCCGTGAGTGCCCCCTAGTGGTCCGTGAGTATATTGGTGACATTTCACGCTGACCGCACTTTGAGAAGCACTGATCTAAAGCAACTTACAATAATGGGAATCAACCATGAGGAGACAAACTCAAATTAGCCAAACCACTCAAGTGCTTCAAAAATGAATGAGATTTGTTTTATTATTATATATGATTAAAAAAAGAACCTGATATACTTTTGGTCCCACCCCGGAGGAAACACAGATAGCTCCTAAACTCATCTTCAGCTAGTTTTCAGTTAGTTACAGAAATGACATTACATTTGGCTGAGGAGTTTTATCTGAAGCAACTTACAAAGACTCGAATCAACCATGAAGAAATAAACTGGGTAAGAAAACTGCAAAGCTTCAACTTGGCCAAACCATTTAAGTGCTTTAAAGATGAACAAGAATTGTTTTAATATTATATTTAGTTTGAAGGATATAGCAAGGTTGATACAGTAATGGTGCAGTTTGTGTTAAAACAAAAACAACCAGCTAAAAGAGGGTAAAACGGCTGAAAGGCTGATCATTTTCTGATGATCAGGGTGACGTCCTGTACATAATTGACTCAATTGATCAGTTGTGAATATGTATTGATGTGGCTTTAAATGCCTAGTATGAACAGCCAAGTGTAAAACATACAGGCTTAATAAGAGTTGTGTTTTCATACACCATTGACCTTTAATAGAGCTGCGAGCGTCTGATTACATACGGTGCAGAGTTCCTGGAGGAGAGAGAGTTCTGAGATATCTCTCAATGTCCTAAGGACTGGCGTAATTACTTCCAATAGGGCTGGCGTCTCTTTCAACTGTATGCTTCACGCTGTGTAGCTCTGCTCTCAGAGTCAGGAGAAAGCTGTACAACAAATGTCAAAAGAAAAGGCCAGAAAGAGAGCGGCTTTCTGCTGGCGTCAGCTGAGTTATTCTCTTACCGAACACGTTCAGGCTCACTTCCTCGGATTTCTCTCCCGCCTTGTTCTTGGCGATGCAAGTGTAATCTCCTTCATCCACTTTCTTGACATCTTTTATTACCAATTCAGAACCATCCTCGTTCAGGCTGTACTTATCGCCGGTTTCAAGGACGATGTTGTTACTGTAGCGGAGGGAAACAGAGGAAGAAGACATGTTGAGGTTCACATCACGAGGGTTTGCTTACACAACTTGAAAGGACGTTCAAATAACTTTCTTTACTCGCTGACAAGGATCTGTTGGGGGTTTTATCTGCTATACAACAAAGGCAAGGAGAGCAAACTAAAACAAGTCCTGTCCTCTGCAGAATGCTTCTGATAAAAGCTTGAGCTTGCCTCAGCTCTCTTTTAGTCCTCAACTGTGTTTTTATAAGGCCATGGACCAATAAGATGGTGCAGGAATGAGTCCTAAACCCAGGGAGGAGTTATCATTTTAGCGCTTCCTGTTCCATCATCTGGACCTTTTTGAATGTGTGTTTGGTTGTTAGCTTTAAATAAGGTCTGTAATTAAACCAAAACTGAAGAGATGTTGTTCTACGACTTAAAATACGTAGTAAATGCCCCACTGGTGAATACAAAAAATGCGTTGGCAAACAAGTGTCTAAATGAGACGCCATCACAACCAACATTAGCTGCCTTTAGCTTAGCGGAGGTGACGTGAAGCAACCCAGTCTCACGGCATTTCGTGTTATAGTCACGAAATAAATGTAATCTATTGTTTCGTGTTCACCAACACGATTTTCCCATTTTTTTCGTGTCACACAGAACGATTTTAAAAGCAATGTATTTCTATTGGTAGTGTGTTTCGTGCCAGCACCACGTATTTTTGTCCGGAAGACCGGAAGCTGTGGGGTTCATAAAAACATGTTCTTACTCAATATCAAGACACGATTATTGTTTTTATTTTAAATTGTAAAATGTCGGACTTTTGTTGCCGTCCGCGAGGAAAATAAATGGCTCATAGCCTCAGAATACTGACATCTGTATTTTTTAAATCTTTTTTTTCTTTTAATTTGTTATTATTTGGTGCAGGCACGAAACATACTACCAATAGAAATACATTGCTTTTAAAATCATTCTGTGTCAGAATACTGAAATCTGTATTTTTAAAAATCCTTCAATTTTTCCTTCTAATTTGTTATTATTTACATTGCTTTTAAAATCGTTCTGTGTGACACGAAAACAATGGGGAAATCGTGTTGGTGAACACATTACATTTGCATTTAGCTGCCGCTTTTATCCAAAGCGACTTACAATAAGTGCGTTCGACCAACAAAATACAAACTTGAAGAAAACAGAATCATATAAGTACATCAGGCTTCATAGAGCAAAAACATTTCAAGTGCTACTCAACTGGCTTTAGATAAGCTTTATTAGTATAAAAGTGCTTTGTTAATAGTTCTATCGCTCGAAGTGGAGTCGAAAGAGATGAGTTTTCAGTCTGCGCCGGAAGGTGTGCAAGCTATCTGCTGTAGAACACGAATCAATAGATTAATTTCGTGACTATAACACGAAATGCCGTGAGACTGTGTTGCGTGAAGTCATGTGACCGTGCTGTAGTTCCTTTATAGCCCAACATTAGCCGCCTTTAGCTTAGCGGTGGTAACGTGAAGTCATGTGACCGTGCTGTAGTTCCTTTATAGCCCAACATTAGCCACATTTAGCTTAGCGGTGGTGACGTGAAGTCATGTGACCGTGCTGTAGTTCCTTTATAGCCCAACATTAGCCTCCTTTAGCTTAGCGGTGGTGACGTGAAGTCATGTGACCGTGCTGTAGTTCCTTTATAGCCCAACATTAGCCTCCTTTAGCTTAGCGGTGGTGACGTGAAGTCATGTGACCGTGCTGTAGTTCCTTTATAGCCTAACGTTAGCTTTTCACTTAAAAAATCATAAAGTGTTAATATCTGAAGATTATCCTGCTGAACAAAACACGCTTAAATAAAAAACGTTTTGCAGCAAAGCTTATTTTCTGCGTTAATCCAAAATCCAATAGAAAAATCCTATTGTCTTTTTGTGGAGTGAACGAGGGGGATGCTAACTTCAGGGTCGTACTCCAACAATACATCATCCCTGCGCCTCTCTGTGATCATGATGCATGTTGTTTCCTGTTTTCTTTCACTCCTGAGAGGCAGAAGCCTTCACAGAGGTTACACTCCGGTTTGTGTTCCTGCAGAAGGGGAAGGCTTCCTGAGGCGTTTTGCAGACAGACAGTGAATGACAAATGGAGTTTCAGCCCTCTGTTTTTCTTCTGTCCTCCCCACAACCTCCACTCTGTTCAGACCAGCTTCCCCAACACACACATCTCACTCCTGCCTTCAGCATCCCTTCTTAAAGGTTTCCTCACTCTTATATCTGCTGAGTTTCATTCACAGATTGCTCTGCACAGCCGGGGGTCTGCTGTTTGAATGTGAAAGTACTTAAAGCAAACAGCTGCATGAAGAGACATTAATGTTGTGGCGATGAGGCTTCAATAATGCATACTTAATACCAGCTTACGGCAAATCCATCACAAGGCGAGGCATTACATATTGTATTACACATTTTATACATATATTTATTTTATCTTTATTGCACATTTTACTTTAACGTTGTATGTTTATATACATATTTTTTATTTAGTTATATTTCATTTTAGCTTTCAAAAGACATTTTACTTTACTTTATTTACAGGTGCTGAACAATTATTATAGTTCTTGCCTTCATTGCCAACAAAAGCTCATTACAGAGTCTTAATTATCAAATATATATATATTTGATAATTAAGAAATATATATATAATAGCTTAAAGTATATATTTGTATTCATTTCATTTTAATGCAGAGAGCCAATCTGTATTCTATTTGTTGTTCTACTCCGCCATATAGCAGGTTAATCTCATATTTGCTCAGTGCACTTTAGGTCTGTGCATGCGTGTGTGTCTGTGTGTGTGCGTGTGTGTATGTGTGTGTGTCTCTGTGCGTGTGTGTGTGTGTCCACTAGGGCTGTGCGATTATGGCAAAAATCATAATCACGATTATTTGGGTCAATAATTGATATCACGATTATTTTGACGATTATTCATTGACCATTTATTGAACTTTAAAACAAATAATATTTTACCAATAAACAAGAACAAATATGTTGGAGCGCACTTCCAAAACCATACTAAACATATATTATTAATATGATAAATAAAAATAAATTGGACCAAAATAAATGAAATCAAACATGTTGCAGTGCAATGTCACAACCTACTGAACACTCCTTAACATATAGCCAACATGTTGGTAAAACATATTCATTATTCCACTCAGTTAAACGTTGAAGGCTGGCCAACCGTCATGGTTCAGAAGTAACAGGAAATAAATGTTGAACTACAATTTAAGACCAAATTAAAAAAATGTAGGCCACCATGGCAAATGCTGGTAGGGCTGTTCATGTCATCTCTTAAAGATGCTTTGCAAGAAACACCAGCCTGTTGACATGGTCTGGTTTCAGAGATGAGCGCAGGCAGGTGACAAAATTGCCACCTGTACTGAAGACCCTCAGCCACGCCCCGACACATGGGGTGACGCCGGCCAATCACAAAGCTTTGATGCGTTCAAGTGCATTATTCTGGCACAGGAAGATTATGTTACAGGACATTAACGATAAAACAGAATATTGTTGTTCTATTTTTAGACACATCTCGCGATCGACTGGTTGGGCACCCCTGGGCTAGACCATAGGTCTGTTGTGGTGGCAAAGTAGTCAGCTGAAGCCACATCTCTCTCAACTTCCCCACGGCATTTGTCATATAGTGCAGGCAGCGCAGACCTGCTGAAATAATACCGAGACGGCATCGCGTAACGCTTGTCCAACGTGTTGACAAGTTGCTTAAAGCCCTGGTTGCTAACAGTGCTAACTGGGCACATATCTTTAGCGATGTGGAATGTAATGGCAAAGTACTTGCAAATAGTGGAAATAGTTTGACCCTTCTTTTTAACGAGTTGCTGCTCTTGTTCTGACATCTTCGCTCTCGCTGAACACTCACAACACATGTCACTCCCACGTGGCCGAGTGGGCTTTTAGGGAGGGGCGAAAGCGCACCCAGCAAAATAATCGTATTTTGTCAATTATGCTGTTTTCATAATCGTCGCAAGCCATAATCGTAATCGCGATTAAAATACGATTAATTGCACAGCCCTAGTGTCCACGCATGTTAAGTAGTGTGTGAGAGGCTCTCTTGTTTCTGTGTGGAAGTGAATGCGTCTCTGCAGGCAAGGCCGTCCTCATTCATATTAATGGGATATTTACAAACACATCACAACAACAACAACTCCAGGAAGTGGTTACGTTGTGTGTGTCCTATAAAAGGGTCTCAAACAGGATGTAGGCAGAATGTAACGCTGGAAAGACTCAAGTTTACATATTTTGTATCAGTCATAATCCGAAGGTTGAATTTATAAAGAAAGAGGTAGTGATAGTTTCAGTTTTTGGAGCACAGCTGTGTTTACATGTATTTGAATAAGTATGATAAATAATACTGTGTGTCCTTGGCTTAAAGAACAATGTAAAAAAGTGTCATATTATTATTCTTTGGACATGTGTGTGATCATATCAGCTTTCTTTTTTAGAGACGTATTTACATGTTTTATCATTTAAAGTATTCACATTTAAAAAAACAACAATTCAAACGTTGTTCTCCAGAGTTTCGTCCCTACAGGAGTTCTGATGTATTTGAACCAAATAGCTGCCTTGCATAGCGTTAACGTATGTGTATGTTAAAAAATGCTTTCATCTTTAAATTGTATTTTTAAATAACTCTTTGTTTTAACACATTAAACACTTGATATTTCGATGTCTGCTGGTCTTCAGAGGATCTTATTTTTATGTTTGTGTGTTGAGACTCCTGACTTTTCTCACAAAGTTAAAGATGAAGATAAATTCTCTACATGTCTTATCTGCTGTGTTTCTGCACGTTGTCATTGTGTCCAGCAGCCGGAGACAGAGGGCACAAAACACTTCATTACAATGTTTAATTTGGCTCTTTTTAACTTTAGTGTAGTGATCTTTAACAATATAACCAATAGGATTATTAATTGTATTTACATTTTCAATATTAAAAACTACTTGGTTTATTTATTTCCGTTTTTATTCATTTAGATTAAAATGATATACACCGAGTATTTCTCATGAAAAAATAGAAGATATTTATTGATTGAATACATTCTTAAAAAAACTGCCCTGCGATCATATCTTTTTTATATGAGATGAGGATCATTTTAAAAATGTATACCGTGGTATTATTCAGTTTTATGTTTGTCTGATGTTATGTATCTTTTTCTAATGAATTCTTCTTCACGTGTTTACTTAACATTCTGTTTCCACTTGAGGACAGGAGTTAGAGGTTAGAACAACAACAGCTCAGAGATACAGTATATTAGTGTGTGCAGCCCAGGTGTGTGTGTGTGTGAGTCCTAGCATTACTATCCTTGTGGGGACCTACATTTGTTTACACAGTCACGTGTGGGGACTCACCTCCCTTATGGGGACAAAATGGAGGTCCCATGAGGGGAATCATTAATTTTAGGGTGAAGACTTGGTTAGGTTTAGGGTTAGGGTTAGGCATGTGTTGGTTATGGTTAAGGTTAGGATAAGTCTCCAGGAAATGCATGTAAGTTAATGTAATGTCCCCTGAAGTGATGTATACATGGTATGTGTGTGTGTGTGTGTGTGTGTGTGTGTGTGTGTGTGTGTGTGTGTGTGTGTGTGTGTGTGTGTGTCGTACTGTGCCCAGGTGACGGTGGGTTCGGGGAAGCCGTCGGCGTCGCAGGCCAGCAGGGCGGAGGCAGAGTTGTCTGCGGTGGCGTTCACATCGGAGACCCTCGCCCTGATGGTGGGGAGCACTGAGGGAGAGGAGATCAAAATGTATCAGTGGTTGGTAGGAAATAAAAACATTATCATTTGCTGGTTTAAGAATTTAAAAAGAGCATTTTGATGGTAGGAAATACAATGTAGTAAATAATTAAATACAAATAAAATACAAAATATGATAATGTTAAAAAGTAAAAAAAAGAAAATGTAATAAATACAAATTATTATTTTTTGAATTTTGAAAAGAAATATATAGATAAAATAAATACACATGAATAGAAACCTTCTGTATTTCATATGTTGCTCTTGAGCGAAGAGTTGCAGACAGATGAATTGATGTACTCATCCTTATCATCAGCTGGTTTAAGGTTTATTAAAAAGAGCATTTTGATGGTTGTCCTTCCTGTATTCTGTACTATGTTTAACAGGACAGACGAATTCTCACCATTAACGACGACCTTGATCATCTTGAAGTCGATCTCTCCGCGGGCCATGACTCTCGCCTCGCAGTTGTACATGCCCTCATCGATCTTCTTGATGCCGCGGATCTGCAGGTGGCCGTTATCCAGGATCTTAAATCTCACTGCAACAGGAGAGGCAAACGGGACCGTCGTTCATCAAAGATTATTCAGATGAAACACACACACACACACACACACACACACACACACACACACACACACACACACACCAATTATAATGTTTAATCTCTCTTATTAATTGGATTTATTTAATTATATTGTGATTGTTTGATCAGACATGTATTACTTTTTGATTGATGTTACCTGAGGTGTTAATGTTATTGTAATAATATTACAATATTCTTTCAAATAATGTCCAGAAACTTGGATAAATTAAGTTAAAATAAGTGTATTTATGTAAGAATCTCTTCATGCCTCTTGTATTACAGATAATAATAATCAAACACGGCATACTTTTTCTTTTTTTTGCTGGATTCAGCATCGTTTTTTCATTTCAAATAGTGTGTTTAATGCTTAATATACTGTATTTGTCCCAGTTTAAAGCCAGTTAAAGACCACATGGAGCACCACATGTGTATGCAGTGGATACATCTGAAATGTGAGAATACATTTAACATGTACAGTTGTTCGTTCAACAGTATGTATTGATTTTTGTTTAAATGGAAAATGGAAATGGAGGTGTTCCTCTTCAATTGTCCCACACAGTGAACATTTAGTGCATCTGCATCCAACCCATCCTAGTAGAAGAAGTACATACATATATATGTTTTAAATCCACAAATCATACTCAATTAACTGTTGATTTACTTGGATCTCACTGTGGGCAAACAACTAAAGTTCAAGAGAACCCTTTTATGAGTGAAATCCTTCTTTTAAAGGCTCAGACAGGAAGTTGGAGGCAGATTAAAACGCCCTAATTATCCCCGGTAATCAGACGAGGTGCCCCGCATGAACCACGCCGCAGTCTGACTAGCTGTTGCTCCCCAAATTAAAGCCGCCACAAACACAGAGAGCTGTTTAAACCGGAGCCTGGTGTTTCATCCAGCACATTGTTAAAGCTCTGACACACACACACACACACACACACACACACACACACACACACACACACACACACACACACACACACACACACACACACACACACACACACACACACACACACACACACACACACACACACACACACACACACACACACACACACACACACACACACAGCTGTATAAACCAGAGCCTGGTGTTTCATCCAGCACATTGTTAAAGCTCTGACAGACACACACACACACACACACACACACACACACACACACACACACACACACACACACACACACACACACACACACACACACACACACACATCTGATTTAAGAGCCATTTTCTGATGTTTGTTCTTTCTATGTCCCAATTTAGAAAACTGAAGCACCTCTTCCACATGTCTAGCCGGTGTGTACTCACTGGATTTAAATTGGGGGGTGTTTAGGGGGCACTTGTTTAGCCTCTACACTTTAATTTGCCTGCTGAGAGGTTACAAGTTTTCATTTTCTCCTGCTATTTAACGGAGAAGCCCACCGAGCCTGTGTGCTATAAAATCACTTGATGCAGATAATTATGTACAGGGTGCTAGAAAGGATATTAGCGAGGCAAAGGGAACATTTCCTTCCTGTACCTTTGAGATTCTTATTACACAAATAACTCCACCTCAGCTATTAGGACTATACTGCTGTATTATACAAGTACATTTACTGAATACAATGTTCTCTCACTGATTCCGTCTATTTGACTCTTTCTTCAGAGGCTCATGCAGTCCTTTATCTGACAGGTATATTTAATTAACAAAACATAGCTCCACCTGTATTAGCAACACATTTCAATTCTGTTTAAATGATCATCCAGAACATAGTGACATCAGTATGTAACACTCACGCTCCTATTGACTAGTGCTCCAACACATTGTACGTGATAGGCAAAGGGGCGGGATATCACCAAGTGGTTGACCAATCACAACAGAGCCGGCCATCTAACCAATCAGAGCAGACTGGGCTCTGGTTTTCATCACTAACTAATGCTACAGTATTTAAAGTATTTTTTGTATATTTACTGTAACTAAATACATATATTTTGTATAACTTCATGTTTTGCCTTCTACATTTCCAAGGCAAATACAGCTATATTTAATTAGATACAATTAGCCTTCACAAGCAACAACATTATAATTCTGTTTCAATTTTAATCAGCACTAATAAGGGCACATTATGCACGAGGAGTACTTCGTCCTGATTACATTTAGCTGCTTGAGTAAAATGTTAAAATGCAGGATATGAACTTATCTTGTAGGAATTAAACATTTTGAGGTTATTACATTCATATTTAACATTTATTATTTCCTAGAACTGTTTTACTGTCTGCATACACGTAAGAATAACAGTATAGTGAACCTCTATGTTTTTAATAATTGTATTGACTTGTTATTTTATATTTAATTAGTTTTTAGGGTGACCTTAAAACATCTGTTGCAGGTACAGATGAAAAAAAGGCTCTTGGTTAACTCTGGCGTATTTACAGCAATATTCATTAATGTGCACTGTGCCTGCTAGATCAAACAATTAAATAATAATGATTAAATGATAATATTAATCTAAAAAAAAGTTAAAAAAAGAATTAAAAATGTATGACAAAAATAGAAATAAAGCAAGTGAAAAAATATTCAAAATATTTTAAGTAAAGCCTTTTCGATGACTTGGAGTTGAGAGCTTTACATTTGATCAATTTCTACTTTGTAATACATTTTAAATGACTAAGTTGGGATGCTTTAACAGTTAAATCTGCAGCGTGAGTTAAGGTCAAGTGCTGAGAAGAAAACGACACCAGCAGGCTTCAGTTTTTCACTGTCGGTCACAATTAGTGGTTTTTCCAGAGAAAAACACATTCCTTGACCTGAGTCCAAGAATAAAGGCGGTTCGAGTGCAACGCTGCGGTGACTGCAGTGGTCACTGGGGGGGGGGTTCACTGGGGGGGGGGTTCACTGGGGGGGGCGTCACTGAGGGGGGGGTCACTGTGGGGTGAAAACAGGCCCAGTCTGGGCCTGTTTTCACCCCACAGCAAGAGTCAAACTACCTTATTTCCACCTCAGTGCTGAGGCAGCAGACTGAAGTTGAGTTGAACTTTTTTTGAGGTGAGCTGCTCTGTCGTCAATATAAAGCCTGTATAAAGCCAGCCTGTGGAACTGCCAGTCAGCTGTTCCTAAGGCTGACTTCATCTCTGGCTACGGCTCCCTGCAGTCTCTGGATTTCCTTGCTCTCACTGAGACCTGGATTACTCCATCCAACACATCCACCCCAGCAGCTCTCTCCACTGCATATTCCTTCTCCCATACACCCAGACCCACTGGCAGAGGAGGTGGCACTGGTCTCCTGCTCTCTCCCAAATGGAGCTTTTCCCTCTTCAAGCTACCTAACTTCACTCCTTCCACCTTTGAGTTCCATGCCGTCACAGTAACCCATCCTATACAGTTAACCATTGTTGTTCTCTACCGTCCACCAGGCGCCTTGGGGGACTTCTTGGAGGAATTAGATAATCTCCTCTCACACATTCCTGAAACTGGCCCTCCCGCTGTACTTCTCGGAGACTTCAACCTCCAGACGGGGAAGATAGACGAACTAACATCTCTGTTAACCGCCTTTGCTTTCTCACTGTCTCCATCCCCACCAACTCATAAAGCTGGCAATGTCCTTGATCTCATATTCTCAAGGAACTGCGCTACTTCTAACCTCTCTGTAAACCCGCTCCACATATCCGATCACTTCTTCATTTCATTCTCTCTATCCCTTTCCAAACATAACAAACTAATCTCTTCTCATCCTGCACTTGTCCGCCGTAACCTTCGCTCCCTCTCCTCCTCTACCTTTGCCTCGTCGGTGCTCTCAGCCCTCCCTTCCTCTGATTCGTTCCAACTACTGCCTCCAAACTCTGCTGCAGAAACTCTCCTCTCTACTCTCTCATCCACTCTGGACTCGCTCTGTCCTCTCACATCTCGGCAGGCTCGTCAGTCTCCTCCTGCTCCCTGGCTAAATCATGCACTGCGTGCTAATAGAACCGTCCTTAGGGCAGCAGAGCGGAAATGGTGGAAATCCAAACACCGTGACGACCTCCTAACCTATCAGGCTCTCCTCTCCTCTTTCTCTGCTTCGATCTCTCAGGCAAAAAGCACTTTCTTTCAAGATAAGATCCAATCTTCCTATTCCAATCCTAAAAAACTATTTTCCATCTTCTCCACCCTCTTGGACCCTCCAAAAGCTCCTCCCCCCTCCTCACTTCTGTCAAGCGACTTTGTTACCCACTTTGAAAAAAAGGTTGATGATATTCGCTCTTCTTTTTCTGACTCACCTTTACTCACCGCTGGGTCACCAGACCCTCCTTCCACCAACACACTTACCTCCTTTTCCCCTCTCTCTCCAAGTGAGGTTCTTACCCTCATTACCTCTGCCCGCCCTACCACCTGTCCTCTGGACCCTATCCCTTCAAACCTCCTTCAGACTATCGCTCCTGATATTCTACCGTTTCTCACCCATTTCATCAACACTTCTCTAACTTCTGGTCACTTTCCAAACAGTCTCAAGGAGGCAAGAGTAAACCCTCTCCTAAAGAAACCTACTCTCAACCCGTCTGATGTTATAAACTACAGGCCTGTCTCTCTCCTCCCGTTCCTGTCTAAATCACTTGAACGCGCTGTCTTTAAACAACTCTCCTGTTATCTCAATCAGAACAACCTTCTGGATCCGCACCAGTCTGGTTTCAAGGCAGGTCACTCCACAGAAACTGCTCTCATTGCGGTCACGGAGGAACTGCACACTGCCAAAACTGCATCCCTCTCCTCTGTCATCATCCTATTGGACCTGTCTGCTGCATTCGACACGGTGAATCATCAGATACTCCTTCGCACTCTCCAAAAACTTGGAGTTTCAGGCTCTGCACTTTCCCTCCTCACCTCATACCTCAAAGACCGTACCTACAGGGTGACTTGGAGAGGGTCTGAGTCCGACCCTTGTCAATTAACTACAGGGGTCCCTCAGGGCTCTGTTCTCGGTCCCCTCCTCTTCTCCCTGTACACAAACTCGCTCGGATCAGTCATTAGCCCGCATGGTTTTTCTTACCACTGCTACGTTGACGACACCCAATTAATTCTGTCCGTTCCCCGCTCAGAGACCCAGGTCGTCGCACGCATCTCTGCTTGTCTAGCTGACATCTCTCAGTGGATGTCTGCTCATCACCTCAAGCTCAACCTTGACAAGACTGAGCTGCTCTTCCTCCCGGGAAAAGATTGTCCCACTCTTGACCTAACAATCAACATCGGCACCTCAGTTGTTTCCCCGACTCAGACTGCAAGGAATCTGGGTGTGACCCTAGATAACAACCTGTCCTTCACTGCAAACATCGCTGCTACAACCCGTTGCTGCAGATACACGCTTTACAACATCAGGAAGATACGTCCCCAGCTGACCCAGAAAGCGACTCAGGTTCTGGTCCAGGCTCTCGTCATCTCACGCCTAGACTACTGCAACTCTCTCCTGGCTGGTCTACCTGCATGTGCCATCCGACCTCTGCAGCTCACCCAGAATGCAGCGGCTCATCTGGTCTTCAACCTTCCTAAATTCTCCCACACCACTCCGCTCCTCCGCTCCCTTCACTGGCTTCCGGTAACTGCTAGAATCCACTTCAAGACACTGGTACTTGCGTACCATGCTGCGAATGGATCTGGCCCTTCCTACATCCAGGACATGGTTAAACCGTACACCCCAGCACGTGCACTACGCTCTGCATCAGCCAAACGACTCGTTGCGCCCTCGCTGCGAGGGGGACCCAAGTTCCCATCGGCGAAAACACGTGGGTTTGCTATCCTGGCTCCAAGATGGTGGAATGAGCTCCCCATTGACATCAGGACGGCAGATAGCTTGCACATCTTCCGGCTCAGACTGAAAACTCATCTCTTTCGACTCCACTTCGAGCGTTAGAACTACTAACGAAGCACTTTTATACTAATAAAGGACTGGCTTACCTAAAGCCAGTTGAGTAGCACTTGAAATGTTTGGCTCTATGAAACCTGATGTACTTTTATGATTCTGTTTTCTTCAAGGTTGTGTCTTCCTGGTCGAATGCACTTATTGTAAGTCGCTTTGGATAAAAGCGTCAGCTAAATGCAATGTAATGTAATAAAGCTGCAGGGATGATGTTTTTTTTATAGTCTGAGAATAAAGTTAGCAGCTCCCTGGTTCCCTCCACAAGAGACCAGTGGGATATTTTCAGTGGATTTAGATTTATTGCTCAAATTAAGCTCTGTTTCAAACAAACTTTTATGATGCTTACAGCTTATAAAAGGAACTACAGCAAGGTCACATGACTTCACGTCCCCACCGCTAAGCTAAAGGAGGCTAATGTTGGGCTATAAAGGAACTACAGCACGGTCACATGACTTCACGTCACCACCGCTAAGCTAAAGGAGGCTAATGTTGGGCTATAAAGGAACTACAGCACGGTCACATGACTTCACGTCACCACCGCTAAGCTAAAGGTGGCTATTGTTGGGCTATAAAGGAACTACAGCACGGTCACATGACTTCACGTCACCACCGCTAAGCTAAAGGTGGCTAATGTTGTGCGTGATGACGTTAAGTCATCTCATTTAGACACTTGTTAGCAACCTACATGGCCCAATGGGATATTTACTGATGTATTTTATGTTAAAATTCCTTCAGCTTCTGTTAACCACAGATCTTATTTCAGGCTTCCAACAAAAAAACACTTCCAAAAAACATTGGCTTTAAGACGAGTGAATAGGAAGTGCTAAAATACTGAGTAATTTCAGGGTTTTCAGCTCCCTATGTCCTCTATCATATTTCCACATTACTTCCCCCTCCTGAGTAGCTCTCGCTCTACTTGGGCGGCTCCAATCTGTTCTCATTCATAACCTCTTCCTTCTGGGCCAAGAAGAGACCATCTCCCCTGTTAGTGCCTCATCTTTGAGGTCGTAAGCTCTCCTGCTGCAAATGCATGGCTTTGTTCAAAGATGAAGGGCAACAGGAGAAGGAAACGAGGAATACTGGGGCAAATTGATTGGAAAGCATGACCTGGCAGACAGCATTGGCAGAAGGGAAAAGGGTGAGTGCTCAGAAGGAGTGAGGGTAAGAGATAGAGGGGAGGAAGGTTGAAGGTGAGGAAGCAGTTCCAGCTTTGTGTCTGAATCGGGCTCACCGTCTTTGGCAGCCTGGATCTTGGAGCCTTTGTGTTTCCAGATGATGCTGGGAGGAGGAGAGCTGATCACGTTGCAGACGATGGCCGCGTCATCGCCTTCGTTAAACTCCTGAGGGCTGGGGGCGCTCTCAAAGGTGATCTTTTCTGTAGAGAGGAGAGCATACATCACACACCGTTATAAATACTTAACCTTTCACACGGACACTGGGAACTTTCACTTGCCATTTTGTAGATTGCTTAAAGTATGGTTGACTGTTAAGTGTTAAAGTAATTACAGAAGGCGTTGGAAGGTAGGCAGGTTAAAGACAATTCCTCTAAAAGTAAGGCAATTCAAAAAAACAAGTAAACGGAAATAGGGCTGCACAATGAATGGACATTTTATCAAAGTCTGAACATGGACTATGCAATATCCGAACTGCAGGAATAACAACATTTGGAAGATGCAAAATATGGGAAAATATCTTAATAAAGTATTTTGGAGCTGAAAGGAAGTCCTGGACTACAAACTGATTCTACAGGCTTAATAAAAAAAACATTGTTTGGTATAAATCCTCCCAAAAAACATCTAACATCGAACATTTTTATATTATTTGGATAATATTTACAAAATCATGATTGCAGTATCAGTAAATATAATGTAATTAGTTGTTTTTTCAAATGTTGCAGCCCTAGTTGGATTCTTTAAGTGTTAACCTCACTGACCAAAGCTGTAACGTCCTTCTGTTTAAGCATCTCATACAACTTCAGAAAAATAAATTCCTAGTTTACAAGACGTTTTCTCCTGAATCTTTAGTCTGACAAGTAGGTTTAAGTAATAGATTAAGCTTCTCAAAACATACCTGAGAAGTCATCAAATGAATTATATCTGAATTATACTAAATGTTTGTTGCTGCCTGGATAAAAACCCAAAGGAAGTAGCTATCAAAACCAATTAGTGGAAACAAAAAAGGTAATTTCTAGAGACAGAGTGTGGTCTGCAGTAATTGCTGTGAGGGGTCTGTTGTTTCCTGTTTTCCTCCAATGTTAATTACAAAAAAACTGTTTTCTCATAATGCTAATTCTGTATTGTTGCACATGAGTTTAATACAGCTGAGACTTACGGAAGATCTTCACTTGCACCGTGGCCTGCGCCTCCTTGTCTCCGTTCTTGGCGACACACTTGTAGATGCCGGCGCTGTCCACGTTGGCGTGGTAGATGGTGAGCGTGGACATGGTTTCATCTCCGCGGCTCACGATAATGTCCGGCCTGTTGGGAAGGATCTTCTCTCCACTGGGGGAGTACCAGTCGATGTCTTTAGCATCTCCCGTCACTGAAACACACAGAATGTAATTATAGTGAGGCAAGGAAGAAAGAAAGCAACGACCAGAGCTGCAATATATATGATAACATTTAAGTTGATTGAAGCTTTGCGCAATCCTGCGAGCCTTATAGAAAAACCAGCCTAACTTTGAACGTCTTTTGAGTCACTTCTAGACGAGCTAGCGGGACACTTTTATTATTTCTATGTCATTGAATCACTGAAACACACAGAATTCAGTTATAGAGAGGCAAGGAAGAAGGGAAAATAAGTCAAATATGATAATAGTAAATCGATTGAGAAAATACAGAAAAAACAGTCACATTTTGAACGTTTCTTGAGTCACTTCTAGACGAGCTAGCGGGACACTTATTATTTCTATGTCATTGGGGGAGTACCCGTCGATGTCTTTAGCATCTCCCTTCACTGAAACACACAGGATTGAATAAGAATGAGGCATGAAGAAAGGAAAGGATATGATAATAGTAAAGTTGATTGAGAAAATAAAGAAAAAACAGCCCAATTTTGAACGTTTCTTGAGTCACTTCTAGACGTATTTTCCTGCCTCCTTCTTAAACTCAAGCTACACATTGTATTGGTGTTCAACTATTTGAGACAGCCAGAACAACAGCCTTCGCAAAAAATCTTCATTGTAATTCAGGAGGTAGAATACAAACCTAAAAACGAATAGATTTCCATCTCCAATATCAAGCGTAGTGGTGCATTACTGATTATACAATATATCTGATTGACTTCTGTGTTTCAAAGCAATTCCTTCTTGACATAAAACATCCTCTTCTTTGGAGAATCTTTTGTGCACTTCTAGACACGCCAATTTGACATGGTTGGTATCAATTTGTTGTTGGACTTTCTATTTTCAGATGATATCAGGGTCTTCACTACAGCTTAAGAAAAGTCCATTGAGGCTATGAATAATACGTCTAACAGAAACCTTGTCTAACTTTGAAGGTCTTTTGAGGAACTTTTTGACAGGAATGGATTTTGTCATTTGCATTTTATTTCTGGCAACCTTACCCAACAGTAATCAGCCTCAACTTCGGAGAGTCTCTAATTGCACTTCTAGAAAAGCCAATAAGAAATGTGTTGGTATCTATTTGTTGTCTTATTTTCTAGGTTTATATGATATCGGGATCTCTGGATCGCTAGCGGGACAATTTTGACAGCAATTCAATCTTTGGATTTATCCTTTTGCCTCATTTCTGGACCTCTCAATTTAGCCTCATTTTAGGGCACATTTTAATCAACTTCTTGACAAGTTATTGAGACATAGTTGGTATCAATTCGTTGTTAGACGTTTTTGTTTTCTTATGATATTAAGATCTTTACCGTAGTGAGAAGAGACAAAGATGTCCAGGCTGTTTGCGATCCCAAAAAAAACGTTTTAAATTGAAAAACATAGCATTTTGTTTGTTCTTTTAAGTAGTTTTGCTTTCTCCTGACTTGCTTGATAATTGGATTGGATTTAAACCTCCACTCAAATATATGCAGTATACATTTAGTTGATATTCATGTAGTTCAGAATGTATTATCTCGGCTGCATTTAAACTTTAGAAATGAAATGTTATGCTGTATGCAGTTAAATCCCAGATGTATTACACCATTGATAGCAAACTACTTTAAGCAATAATCTGAGCTTGCATGCTTTTCAGCGAGTAAAAACTGACTCGAAATGAAAGATGAAACAAAAATAGTCATCATTACTTCTACAAGTCAGAGAAAAGCTGATATCTACACCCATGAATCGAGAACTTTGGGGTTGCAATGGCTTTGAAACATTACATCAAACCCCAAACCCCTGCAGTACACATATTTTCCAGATCAGATTAAATATGCTTACTTCAACATAAAAAGGTTAGTATGTGACTTATTTCTATTAATCGTTGGCATCTTTCGCTGGAAGAAAAATACCATCATTTCCACTCATTTCTTTTTAAGACGAGTGCCATCTGAGACATTTCCCCTGACACATAATGGCATCTCATCTCGTCAGGAACACAAAGAGCCTTAAATGCTTTTAGACATCCTCTCCAACGGGATGAAGAGCTGAAGCCATGTTCTTTCATCCAACCAAATAATAGAAATCACTCAGAGATAAATTAGCTTCACATTGTACCTGCTCGGAGATAATGAGCTTTCATCGTGAACGTTTTCTGGGTAGCAACGCGTCTGGAGTGAAATATACAGAGATTTTAAAGGGTGTCACTTTGTGGTGAAATGTGGTTTGAAGATGTTTAAAAGGCCGGGTTGGGATCGGTATGAGGTCAGAGCGGATAATTATGAAAGGTCTGAAAAAAGACAGGGGTGTTAAGAATTTGTGACCTGCTCTATCGAAATCAGTCGCATTGACCAGAAGACACATATTGAGTTGTATAGACTGCTGGAAAGAGGAGATTCCTAGCTTTCTAATGATATCAGGATTGTTTCTGTACTCCAAATATTAAGCGAAATATGTCACATTATATAAAGACTGTCACCGAGTCATCGTTTTGAGAAAAAGGCCGTCAAAGTTTCCTCTTCTCTGGAATCCATCGATCTGATTGGTTATTAGCAAATTATCAAAATACTACGGAAGGAAGATATTTTCGTTTGGATTACTGGTCTGGGGGGAGCTCGCGAGTGTGTGTGTGTGTGTGTGTGTGTGTGTGTGTGTGAGTAATTTTGCGTTTGTGTGTATTGTGTTTGTTTCCCGGGGAAAACCCTCAGGAGAAACCCCGGCTGTTGTTATGCCTGCTGTGACGTCAAGTTACTCCGTTCTCCGCTTGTAATTATGCCGAAGCTTCAAAGTTGTATTTATCATCTGAATTCTCCGAAACAAGTGTAATATTCTGAAAGCCAAGACTTTGTTTAATTGAAATCAGATGAAAACAAACTGTAACGGACCCTGCGGTGTTATCTATGATTACTATATGCCTTACATTCATAATGTCAGCGGAGGGAGGGGGGGGCGGCGCTGCGGAAGAGCAGATTGCCTGTCATCTTCCCTTTACAAGCTTCAAAAAGGTATTTATCGTGTGAGTTTGGAAATAAAAGTTTCATATTCTGAAAGCCAAGACTTTGTTTATTTAAAATCAAACAAAACACCCGAACCCCGAACCTTTTTTTACGCAAATCCACGTTTATTTTGAAATGAGCCGTTGCGACTTCCGACTGATTTCGATAGAGCGGGTCACATATGTTGAGTTACTGATCAGTGAAATCACATTTTTGGATCATTTGAGAATATTCTTTTAAAGACTCTCATTTTCGGACCATTCATTTATTCTATATTAACATTGGCAATAAACCTTTTAAAATGTTCTTATTTGTTCCTTAACATTTCTAGATACATCCTCTCCAACGGGATGATTGGCGTTCGAGCTGAAGCCATGTTCTTTCATCCAACCAAATAATAGATATCACTCAGAGAGATACATTAGCTTCACATTGTACCTGCTCGGAGATAATGACCTTTCATCGAGAACATTTCTGGGTAGCAACACGTCTGGAGTTACTTTTTTTAAATATACAGTGATTTTAAAGGGTGTCACTTTGTGGTGAAATGTGGTTTTTAAGATTTCTAAATTGTCGAGTGGGATCGGTCTGAGGTCAGTTGGTAGAGTAGGTAATTACGAAGGGTCCGGAAAAAGACAGGAAGAAACTATTTTAATAATTTGTTGAGTGAGTGCATGCACATTTTGGATCATTTGAGAGTAAGTAGGCGTATGTTTTTAAAGACTCATCCCGGACCATTCATTTATTCAATACTAACATTACAAATAAACCTTTTCAAATGTTCTTATTGGTTCGTTAACTTTTCTTGATGCAATTTGCAACAAAGTATGCTTTAAAAGGTAATGGGCACACATGGTCCTTTCCATTTTTAAGAGTCAGGTCGCTCAGTTTAAGGAAATATATTGCCTTACTTTTACGGTGGATGAGACAAACTGCATTTCAAGGCACCATTTCATTTTGTAATTTGGTTGAAAAGAGCCGTTAATGTACATATTCTGCAGTGAGTGTGATTATAACTGTGACCCTATGACTGGCATGCTTTTAAATCGTGTAGAAAATATTCTTTGATGTCGGACAGCTGACCCCCATAATGCAAATACCACCTGTATCTCAGAGAAGCTGACACCTGCAAATGTTCACTCAGCGGTGAACACAACGAAAGACCTTTCCTCATTATCTCTTCACACTGCTTCTCTTTTCCACCTCTGTGTGAGCCTTCCCATTACATCCACAGAAAAGACAGTTAAATTCATTTAGACTTGTCTTTTCTTTTTCCTAGAACATCTTCCAATGAGAGTTCATCGTTAGTATTGTTGAATAAACTAACTTCTATCATTATTATCTAAATGGATTCTGCCAGTAAGTTCATACGTTTGCATGAGGTTGAATGAGGTTGGCTTGACGTCACTCTTACCTTCGCAGAGGAAGAACTTGGACTCTCCCACGCTGATCTCTCCCTGCGTTGGCGTGATCTGCACCTGGATGGCGGCTGGGTAAAGAGAAAGAAGATGGAAACAGAATATACATTAGTTTCTGGGTGCAGCGAGAGGAATGTAGACACGAGGGCAAAGCACAATAAGGCCAGGCTCAAAAACAAATTGCTTCGCCTGCTCAAAAGAACAACCATCTTCCCAGCATACCCTCTATGAATGAAAGTCTGGGGTGATATTTCTGTGCTCAATAGAGTGCAACATCTCCGCGCATATGGGTCTAGATTCTCTACAGGGACATTGTTGAACCGTCTGCTTGTTAGCGGGCTCACTTGTTAGGGTTATATTATACACAGAAGGCAGTGGCGAACCGTGGCCATCACAACTGGACCTTCTGTAGACACACCCACCCCCCCCAGCCGCCCCTCCCCCCCCCCTATAATGTCCATCTTTTCACTGAATTGTCGTCTTGAAAATGGTACTCACAACAATTCCGCAACAACTTCCTCTTCACCTGTTGCACTTGTCATTTCAACGTTAAAAACAATAAAACGGCATGAATTGCTTCGTCGCATTCATCTAGATCCTCTGTCTGGAGCCAGTTAACTAGCGGGCCTTCTAGAATACCCTGGAACCGAGGGGAACTCTGAAAGAACACGCCCATTGGCTACAAATCAATATATGATTGGTTGATCAAACTGTCAGTCCAAACGTACGCTCTCATTCAGTGCAACGGCCAGGGCATTCGATCAAGGATGTAGAATACCTTGGTGAAGGATGTTCTACCCAGAGACCCAGAACAAGATCTGATTGGTTGCTTTCTTTTCTACTGAAATGCGTAGAGCATGGTCCGAGAAGGACAAACAAATCAACTGTAATATTACAGATCAACAACACGGATACGATTATCATTTATTCATTTTATATACATTTTATTTATATAATTAAATCGATGTTGTGTTTGTTTTATCTGAGTGTTCCAGGGTATTCTCTGAACACCTTGAAGGCCCTGACGGTTCGCCACTGACAGAAGGCCATTCTAACCAATCGGACGTGCATTTGTCATATATTCAGTTGGCTTCTCATTATGCGAGAAAGAGGCGAGTGTTTGTGGAATTCATTACCATTGCTGACCCTCTAAGGAAGTAGCACGCATGGGGATATTTACTCAATCAACAACATCATGTATTCAGCACACTACTATTAACAAAAGTTAGTATTTTATTGTATTCTGGCAATTTTATAAGTATAGAAAGTGGAAATCCTGCTCTTCTACTCTTCAGTATCTGTCACTTGAACCATGGTTACTCAAGTACACTGTCCATATTATTCTGATGAACATCTACAGCAGTAAAAATACCTTAATTGAGCTAAACGACAATCAATTGTTAGCATACGAAAGAAATCCAGTGGCGCAAATATGATCCTTTTCTTCAAAGACGATTTACATTTTCTTTAAAGTCATATTTTTACTTTGAACTCTAATCTCTGGTTTCTGAAAGATTCACTTTGGTGTTTGGTGTAGAGTTAGGTCTTTTTAATCCTTACAGTACCAGTTTAGACCAATGAAATGGGCTACAACCTATACCGATAAGCCAGGTTTTGCTGTAGATCTGGACTTCGAGCGGTTCGTGTTTGCATTTCTGACCATTTTAGTTGGAGCTTTATCTTCTAGTTAGGGTACAATTTAGTTGGAGCTTTATCTTCTAGTTAGGGTACAATTTAGTTGGAGCTTTATCTTCTAGTTAGGGTACAATTACCATAAACAACTTAATGCTTACTTAATAGTACTTAAAGTGCCCTTTGGGTTGTCAGAGGAGGTCATGTGAAGCTATACAGTACCAGAAACATTTCCAAAGTAAAAGCTAATAACGAATCTTGTTCCTTTGAAAATCAACAACTCTTTATCTAATATCTGACGAAACCAAAGCGAGTCAATGCCTGCCACAGACACCCTGTAACAGCATTCAAATACAAACTAAGGTAACTGTGTGGAAAATGATCTAATTATCAAACATAATATGTTCTCGAGAATGAATGATTTGCGTTGGTAATTAGTCTGGAGTAAGATGATCCTCAGTATATCAGTAGCACTATCTGAGGATTTATTAAGGCGCCTTACAGAGTCATTGCAGGGAGCTCTGGTTCTCTTTTACCCCATCCTGCTTCTCCTGGCAGATGATTTACGAAGCCACAAATCAAAGAATATCCTTTTCTCCAGACTTAACTCCATTTCATCTCTCAGCCTCAGCAGTGGCACAGGTGGGATTCAGAAAGAGTGCAGAGGAACACCTGCTGTGTGATTATTCCTGCAGGCAAATAAAAATGCTTGCGTATTCACGGAAAAGTGTTCAACTATGTAATCAAATGCTCGATGCGAAACGTGCATGTGTGAACCCGAATGACAGGACATGGGAAGGGTTTTTAAATGTGACACGATTCAATGTAAATCTCTCTTCAGTCAGTGATGTGCAGCATGGAAGCAAAGCAGGGATAATCGTGACCCAGAGCGCCACGGAGAAATCCCGCTGAGCCTTCAGCGTGTCGCCACTCGATCGAGGAAGTCTCGGCCCGATTCTCTCCAGGAGATTCATGGGAAGTCTTTGGAAGAACTCGCCTGTTCAAAGACAGGTAGCTAAGCATCCTGACAGCACAAAGAGACAGCGCAGCTTCACGAGGCGACGATTTCATAGCTGTAGAAAGCTTGACTGATTAGAGGCAGCCACAGCGGCGTGTCTTTCCTCCACTGCACACATCACCATTATTCTGTGGAATCGGTCCTGGTATATAACCGTATGTAAAGCTGCATGAATGTATTAAATAGGCATGGTGGTGAAAAGTGTTTAAGAGTTTGTTTGTTTAATGTTGGGCAAATTGGAAGCTTTTAAGAAAGATCTTCATGGGGGGGATTTTGTTTTCCTTTGGTGGATACACTTTGTCATTATAACCAACGACACCACCGCTAAGCAGACCCGGCGTCATGGGCCCGCCCATCCAGGATTTGGGCCGGCTGTTTTAATCAGGGCTGAATACAACATTTTAATTGTTTTATTATTATGTTCAGTGGCGGCGCCAGGGTATACTGGGGTAGGCTACAGCCATACCAAGAAATGGCTTAGCCCCACCATGAAAAATGATTTTAAAGTAAGCAAAATAAAGTCCGCCAACTCGCGCAAAGTAAATTGCACAGACAGCAGTAAATACCGAAGACTAGAAACGGTTTGAAAACTTTTGTCACGTAGTGATCATCTTCTCAATAGAACATCTTTGATAATGTCTTCTGGCCAATCAGAATCACGATAACGACGTGGTGTTGTTGCAGGAAGTCCCGACGGAGAATACTTTTGCTGTAGTACATCTCTATATACATCGATACAGCAGGGGTTGGGTTTTCAGCATGTCAACTCTTTCACCTGTGGGGAAATAGCAGGGTTGGCTCCAGGTCGCCCTTTTTATTTACTACAAGACAAATGTGCCTTTTTATTTCATACAGTTCAAATTGGATTGAGACAGGGAAATAATCTAACCTCACGCGTGGCGTTTCACTGTCAAGGGGAGCATGTATGTAATTACATTGCAAATACTGACTTGAGCCCAACCACTGCATGGGTTAGCCCTACCATAGATTACCCAACACAAATACTCTGGAGCCGCCACTGATTATGTTTATTGTTGTTATTTGTAGGGCTTTGTCCTAATATTTATTTTTGTTTTAAACTATGTTGAAAGATTAGTTTAATAGCATTTTTTTTATTTTGCTATGAAATTCTGAATGAAAGGCTGCGCGCGAGACTGGTTTTTCGCTGGGTTGAGTCGTGTGGGTTTTTGAGTGAGATGCGGCACAGCAGCCTGTCAGTTTACTCTTGCTAGGTTAGTTTGGCTATTATCATTTATATTTATCTGCAACAATGGATATCAGGAAATGGTTCATGAAAGGAATATGGCAACTCAGCGCCAGATGCAGGCACATTAGAAGACATCAGTTACGTTACCAACGAGCTAGCAAGCCAGCCAGGGACAAGGGAGGCTGACAATCAATTATATTTTGAAGAGAAATTGACTCTCAAGCCGGCTCTCTTACAAACTCCTGCTCTGTGCGCAAGCAGAGTACAGCGGTACATGCGGTACATGCTCTCTGCCTCGCTCAATCTCTCTCTCTCTCTCCCTTTCTCTCCATCGCTCAACCTTACTCCACCTCTCCACCCTGTGTGCGCTCAGGTTTGCCTGTGTGCTGCCCAAGTTGGCACAGCGTTACAAATGTGCCACAAAACCAACCAATGGATGTAGCCTATAATAAGACCCTTGACAAATCTCGAGATTTCCCGGGAAATGTAAGTTTCGTGGTGGGCCCGCCCTGGTAAATCAAATGCCCGCCCAGAGACGTATGTCTGCCGCCGGGTCTGCCGCTAAGCTAAAGGCGGCTAATGTTGGGCTTTAAAGGAACTACAGCACAGTCACATCACATGACTTCACATCACCACCGCTAAGCTAAAGGCGGCTAATGTTGGGATTTAAAGGAACTACAGCACGGTCACATGACTTCACGTCACCACCGCTAAGCTAAAGGCGGCTAATGTTGGGATTTAAAGGAACTACAGCACGGTCACATGACTTCACGTCACCACCGCTAAGCTACAGGCGGCTAATGTTGGGATTTAAAGGAACTACAGCACGGTCACATGACTTCACATCACCACCGCTAAGCTACAGGCGGCTAATGTTGGGATTTAAAGGAACTACAGCACGGTCACATGACTTCACGTCACCACCGCTAAGCTAAAGGCGGCTAATGTTCGGTTTTAAAGGAACTACAGCACGGTCACATGACTTCACGTCACCACCGCTAAGCTACAGGCGGCTAATGTTGGGATTTAAAGGAACTACAGCACGGTCACATGACTTCACGTCACCACCGCTAAGCTACAGGCGGCTAATGTTGGGATTTAAAGGAACTACAGCACAGTCACATCACATGACTTCACATCACCACCGCTAAGCTAAAGGCGGCTAATGTTGGGCTTTAAAGGAACTACAGCACAGTCACATCACATGACTTCAC